GTTTTGTATTTCGCTGTAACGCCTCACAGAACTCACAGACACCCAAGGGTTCGTCTCACGTAGTAGTGGTGGAGGCTGGCAGGCTGGTGAGTCCTGGGTCCGTGAGTAGGTCTGGTGGATCCTCCCAACTCTTGGGGTTTGATGAACCTCGATCAGCAGATCAGATGTCGGCTGCTGTTCCAAATCCAGGGGTGAGATGAGGATGAGCCAAGACACAAAGCTGGAGCAAGAGGAGAGCGAATCTTCCCAGGAGATTCATAGGTATACCCCCAGGGAAGCTAAAGGTGGTGATTTGAATTATACCCTCCAGCAAGGCAGGACTCAAGGCATATTCCACCTGTGTTGCCCCAACAGAATTAACCTAAATCCCATCACAGAGTTGATTGCCAGTCATTATAGGGAATGACTGCTACCAGCTGCCCAGCCAAGTTGATACCTGACCTTAACTACCACAGCACCCCAAACAGGCATGGATAATGGGATTTACAAAACATCACAGAATGGAGGACAATGGCTAGAAGGGCCACATCAAGCAATTCACTGCAGGACTCATCTAGCCTCACTAGGTCCAGTAAGTCTGGATTCTTTAAGAATTTGAAGTTCTGTTCCACATTTTTTCTCCCTTTTTAGCAGGATTCATCTATTGTATTACAAAGCTCTTTCAGGCCAGTATTGTAAAGCTCTTTTAGGATTGCTGATAGGTGGCCAAAGAGGAACCCCACTTTGCTAACATGCATCTTGCCAGAAGGCACTCAGCTTTCTCACTCCATGGACTAGAAAGCCCACCATTCTGTCTCTTGACAGTCTCTTGGTTCTGCTGCCTCTGCTGCCACCATCCCTGCCCTTTCTCTCTGCCAGGGAGGTCCAGCACAGGGATCTCAGGTCCAAGGATGTGCTCTGCTCTTGCTATTTCTCTCTTGATGTCAGTGAGATCCCCCTTTTCCACCTCTGAGATGGCTCTTTGTAAGCCTAGCAGGATGACAAAACTATACACCTTATTTTCATGGTTCCACCCCTACAAGGGTGTCATGTACCTTATTTACATTATTAACAAGCTATCCAATCCTCTTGGTGGGCCACAAGCACTTTACATTTGCATAGTCTCACTGAGTCATCTGGTGGAATCACAAAGACCATGGCTAGAAGAGCCATATTAAGTAATTTACTGTGCCCTAACAGCACACAGCAGTGCGCAACAATAGACAACTGAAACACACGATACATACATTACATATTTTGTGCCTTGATTTTAGTGAACAATATATTAGATATCAGTCCATTTTAGAACATTCAGAACTACCTCATTCTTTTTAAGCACTGAATAGTACTCTATTTCATTTCTTTCACCAAAGTCGTATTTTCCAACTGTCAATGCTTCATCCTCTTTATTTCCAACTTTTGCATTCCAGTCACCAGTAATTATCAATATATCTTGACTACTTGTTAGGTCAGTCTTAGGCTTCAAAAGTTGGTAAAAACTTCAATTTCTTCATCTTTGGCTTTAGTGGTTGGTGCATGGATTTGAATAATAGTAACTGGTCTTCCTTGTAGGTGTATGGATATTATCCTATTAGTGACAGCTTTATATTTCAGGATAGATCTTGAAATGTTCTTTTTGACAATGAACATGAAGCCATTCCTTTTCAATTTGTCATTCCCAGCATAATAGAACATGTGATTGTCTGATTCACAATGGCCAGTACCAGTCCATTTCAGCAAACTAATGCCTAAGATATTGATCTTTATACATTCCATTTCATTTTTAACAACTCCCATTTTTCCTAGATTCATACTTTGTGCAGTCTGTATTCTGATTATTAATGAATGCTTGCAACTGTTTCTTCTCTTTTTGAGTCATGCCATATCAGCAAATAAAATTATACTGGAGATCACATGATAGAATTTTGCAAGACCAATGACTTATTCACTGTAAATACCTTTTTTCAACAACATAAGCAGCAACTATACATGTGAATCTCACCAAATGGAATATACACAGAAAAAAAAAAAAATTGACCACATCTGTGGAAAGAGGTGATTGAGAGAGAAACTCAATAATATCAGTCAGAACAAAGGCAGAGAGTGACCATGGAACAGATCATCAATATGCAAGTTCAAGTTGAATGTGAAGTAAATGAAAACAACTCCAAAAGAGCCAAACTACAGCCTTGATTATATCCCACCTGAATTTAGAGACCATCTGAAGAATAAAATTTGACACATTAAACACCAATGACTGAAGACTAACTACATTGTGGGATGACATCAAGAACATTATACTTGAAGAAAGCAAGAGGTCATTAAGAAGGCAGCAAAGGAAGAAAAGACGAAAATAGATGTCATAAGAGACAATGAAATTTGCTCTGTCATAAGAGACAATGAAATTTGCTCTTGAATAGGGAGTAGCTAAAGCAAATGGAAGAAAGATGAGATAAAAGAGCTGAACAGAACATTTCAAAAAGATTGTCGAGCAGACAAAGTAAAGTATTTGTCATGTGCAAAGACTTTGAGTTGGGAAATCAAAATGGAAGAACACGCTTGACATTTCTCAAGCTGAAAGTACTGAAGGAAAAAAATTCAAGTATCAAGTTGCAATATCAAAGGATGCTATGGACAAAATATTGAATGATGCAAGAAACATCAAAAAAAAAAAAAAAAAAGATGGAAGGAATATGCAGAGTCACTTTACCAAAATGAATTGGTCAACGTTCAACAATTTCAGTAGGTAACATATGATCAAGAACCAATGGTACCGAAGGAAGAAGTCCAAGCTGCACTGAAGGAATTGGTGATAAACAAAGCTCCAGGAATTAATAGATACCCATTAAGATGTTTCAACAAATGGATGCAGCACTGGAAGTCCTCGCTTATTTATGCCAAGAAATTTGGAAGACAGCTACCAGGCAACTGACTGGAAGAAATACATATTCATGCCCATTCTAAAAAACAGGATCCAACACAATGCAGAAATTATTGAACCATATCATTAATATTACCCATAAGTAAAATTTTCCTGAAAATGATTCAAAAGTGATTGCAGCAGAATACTGACAGGAACTTCCAGAAATTCAGGCCGAATTCAGAAGAAGGCATGGAATGAATTATATCATTGCAATGTCAGATGGATCTTGGCTGAAAGTAAAGAATACCAGAAAGATATTTACCTGCATTTTATTGACTATACATTTGACTGTGTGAAACATAACAAATTATGGATAACATTGTGAAGAGTGGGAATTCCAGAATACTTAATTTTGCTTATGAGGAAGCTGTACATAGATCAAGAGCAGTCATTAGAATAGAACAAAGGGATAATGCATGGTTTAAAATAAGGAAAGGTGTGCATCAAGATTATCCTTTCATCATACTTGTTTAGTCTATGCTGAGCAAATAATCATAGAAGCTGGACTATATGAAGAAGAACAAGGCATCAGAATTGGAGGAAGACTCATTAATAACCTGCAGAATGCAGACGACACAACCTTGCTTGCTGAAAGTGAAGATGACTTGAAGCACTGACTAATGAAGGTTAAAGACTACAGTTGCAGTACGGATTACACCTCAACATAAAGAAAATGAAAATCCTCACAAGCGGACCAGTAAGCAGCATCACAATAAATGAGAAAAGATGGAAGTTGTCCAAGGTTTTGTATTACTTGATTCCACAGTCAACACCCATGGAAACAGTAGTCAAGAAATCGGACATCATGTTGCACTGGGCACATATGTTGCAAATGACCTCTTTGAAGTGTTGAAGAGCAAAGATGTGAGTTTGAAGACTAAGGTGTGCCTAACCTAAGCCGTGGTATTTTCAATCACTTCATATACATTCAGAAGCTGGACAATGAACAAGGAAGACAGAAGAAGAGTTGATGCCTTTGATTTATGGTATTGGCAAAGAATACTGAAAAATACCATGGGCTGCCAGAAGAATGAACAAATCTGTCCTGGAAGAAGTGTAGCTGGAATGCTCTTTGGAAGTGAGAATAGCCGTACTTTGTCTCACCTACTTTGGTCATGTTGTCAGAAGGGACCATTCCCTGGAAAAGGATATCGTGCTTGGTAAAGTACAGAGTCAGCAAAGAAGGGGAAGACCCTCAACGAGATGGATTGGCACAGTGGCTGCAACAGTGGTCTTAAGCACAGGAAGGATTGTGGGGATGGTGCAGGACCAGGTGGCATTTTATCTCTTGTACATAGGGTTGCTATGAGTCAGAGCCAACATGACAGCACCTAACAACAAGAGAATGAGAAAGGAGCTCTGGTGGTGTAGTGGTTAAAACATTCAGCTGCTAACCAAAAGGTCTGCAGTTCAAACCCACCAGCTGCTCTGTGGGAGAAGGGTGAGGCAATGTGCTTCCATAAAGATTTACAGCCTTGGAAACCCTAGGGGGCAGTCCCACTGTGTCCTGTAGGGTGACTGTGAGTTCGAATTGACTCAATGGCAGTGGGTTTCCTTTTAGTGAATTTTAAGAAAATGAGACAGACAACCCTAGAAAGAGATGTAGAATTGTGGTATTGCTTGTTCTGGGTGTTCACATTTCAGCAGGTCTGAGTTCTGTGGGGAGGTTTCAAGTATCAGGTATTAATGGAGAGGAGGGAAGCTCTCTGGGACACCTGTGCTTCCCCTGTGCATTCCTGTCCTCTCTGCCTCTCCACTAGGCCGGTCTTGCTGTGTTCTATGCATATATGCCACATCGTGTTTTCCTTCTTTCCTATAGAGACATCTGCAGCTTCTTAATGAAACCATTTTATTAAGGTGGTCAGACAGTTGACTTATAGGTTCAGAATCACAAAATGGCAGAGCTAAGAAGCTGAGTATCTGAACCCTTTCATTTTACAAATGCTGTTTTATAATTTTCTTTCTCTGTATTTTATATTCTTATACTCTTAGAATGTTTTGACACCAGTGGCATTGTTTTTTCAGCACCATACAAGCTGGGATATTTTAGAAAATATTTAGTTTTAAGGACTAAAACATGTAATTTCTTTCCTTTTAGGTCTTATCTAGACTTTCTTTGCCTACTCAGCCCTGGAATCCAGCAATGAAGCAGAATTTTGCCTTTGACAACGTGGGCTACGAAGGCGGTCTGGATAGTGTGTCCCCTACTTCACAGATAACTACCAGCACGGTCAGCATTCTGGGCATGACTTGCCAGTCATGTGTCAAGTCTATTGAGGGCAGAATTTCCAGTTTGAACGGCATCGTGAGCATTAAAGTATCCTTAGAACAGAGCAGTGCAACTGTGAAATATGTGCCATCAGTCATGAGCCTGCAGCAAGTCTGCCGCCACATTGGGGATATGGGCTTCGAGGCAAGCATTGCTGAAGGAAAGGCTGTCTCCTGGCCCTACAGGTCCTCACCTGCTGAGGAGGCTGTGGTCAAGCTTCGGGTGGAAGGCATGACCTGCCAGTCCTGCGTCAGCTCCATAGAGGGCAAGATTGGGAAACTGCAAGGAGTGGTGCGAGTCAGAGTCTCACTGGGCAACCAGGAAGCGATCATCACCTATCAGCCTTATCTTATTCAACCCGAAGAACTCAGAGACCATGTCAATGACATGGGTTTTGAAGCTACCATCAAGAACAAAACAGTTCCCCTAAGTCTGGGACCAATTGATATTGGACGATTACAAAGCACTAACCCAAAGAGACCTTCACCTGCTGCTCAGCAAAGTTTCACTAATTCTGAGACCCTGCGGGACCGAGGAAGCCATGAGGTCACCTTGCAACTGAGAGTAGATGGAATGCACTGTAAGTCTTGTGTCTTCAATATTGAAGAAAACATAGGCCAACTCCCAGGGATTCAAAGTATTAAAGTGTCCTTGGAGAACAGAGCTGCCCAAGTACAGTTTGAGCCTTCTCGCGTCTCCCCTGTTGCTCTGCAGAAGGCCATCGAGGCCCTTCCACCTGGAAACTTTAAAGTTTTTCTTCCTGATGGTTCAGAAATTAGTAGGACAGAGTGTCTGCCAGATGTCAGGCCTTCTGAATGCCACTCCTTTGGCTTCTCCCAGAGAAACCAGGAGCCTGGAGCACACAGTACTGTGGTGCTTGCCATTGCTGGCATGACCTGCGCTTCCTGTGTCCAGTCCATTGAAGGTGTCATCTCCCAGAGGAAAGGGGTACAGCGGATATCAGTCTCTCTGACTGAAGGGACTGGAACTGTTCTCTTTAACTCTGCTCTAATTAGCCCAGAAGAACTCAGAGCTGCTGTAGAAGACGTGGGATTTGAGGTTTCCATTATCTCTGGTAAGTTAATTGACATGTTTACAGTGTATCTGGGGTCATCTTCTTTTCTTTTTGTTTCCTACAACACTGTACATGGGTGATATGAGAGGTGAGCCATACTCGTTGCCTTACATGTAGATAATGCCAGCAAAATTCTGTAACTTTTTCTTACATGTTAAGTTTGTTAGGCTAGAGGAAATAGAATTTCCAAGTTTGTAGGTTTTGCCCCTCCTGTGGCATAGTGCTTAAGGCATTTGACTACTAACTAGAAGGCTGGCAGTTCAAACCCACCAGTCACTCCTTGGAAGGAAGACTGGGCGATCTACTTCTGTAGAGGTACCTTCTGGAAACCCAGGGGAGGGGTTGCTGTGAGTTGGCATCGACTGGATGGCAGTGAGTTTGGTTTTTGTTTTGGTAGCTGGGACTAAAAAGCTATGTTCCTTAGGTTTTTGGCCCTTTTTCCAAAGAGGATTCTGACTCTGCATTCTAAAGAATATAGACCCTGTCAGACCCTTCTCTCACCAAAGGAATCATCATCACTTTTCCTGAAGATTTATCTGCTAAAGAAAATTATAAAAACCAACAGTACCTTAGTTTCCATTCCTAGAGACCATACTTTTAAAAATGGGAATTACAGAATTTAACAATGATTTCCCTTGCCTCCCTTGATGATGATGAGAGAAAAGGGAGTGGGCATGACAGTCTAGATAAAGCAAGTTGCCTTCATAGCTAAATGTCACATCATGAGGTCAGATTTCTAGCATGGTGACCATCTGTGTCCCCCCTTCTCTCCTTGACCAGCCAGCTGATAGCCATTCCCATGCTTCTTGTTTTTTCTTCTATTCCCTGCCATGAGAGCTCTACAAATGCAACACCATTTTAACTCCTTTGCGTTTCTGCCATGTACCAGGTCCTGTCCTAGTTGTGGGGCTACTGATCAGTAAGGCATGCCCTCTTCTAAGAACTTACGCTCTAGTGAAGCAGAAGCCGAGAAAATGTAGACCATTACGGTGCAGCAGGACACGTCCTATGCTAAAGGGACTCAGGATGTCCTGTGTGAGCCCAGGTGAGGGGCACCTGGGCCAAACTCGGGGACTTAGGAAATACTTCTTTGGTAAGAATAGTAGCTCCAGAGTAGTCTCTGGAAGGATGAATGGGAATGAAACAAGTGAGGAGCAGGAAAAGGGAGAGGTGGGGAAGGTAGAAGCAAAGGAATAGTCCACACAATGAGACAAACTTCAGTGGGAGAGGAGGCCCAGTGCGTGGAGGAAGCTATGGGTTTAGAGAGAGTTGAGAGTGAGGACTAAGAGTGGAGGGTGGTGAGTGAGGCCGAGCAGGTGAGACATGCATATATCTACAGAGCCTTGCATGCCAAGCTGAGGGGTTTGGGGTTTGTTGTGAAGGCAAGGGGAGTTCCTGGTGGAATTTTGAACAGAAAAAGCACAAGATCAGATTCTGTTTAGAAGACCAGTCTGATGTCATAATGTAGTGTGGATCAAGAGGCTTGAACCACTTGGGAGGCTGGGTAAAAAATGACATGGGACAAGAGAGCAGGAGCTGAATTTGAAAGACATTCAGGAGGTCAGATTCACCAAGCATGTTGTCAGGTTAAGGCTGTGTGTGTGAGAGATGTAGGGAGTGCCTAAACTGTACACATAATTAAGCGCTTGACTATGAACCTAAAGGTACCCAGAAGTACTTTGGAAGAAAGTCCTGGTGATCTACTTCTGTAAGATCACAAGCATTGAAAACCCTGTGGAGCTCAACACATGGGGTCACCATGAGTCAGAATTGACTCAACAGCAGCTATTTCTTTCTTTCTTTCTTTTTTTTTTTTTTTTTTGGTTGGTGAGATGGAGAAGACTCATGAAGGAAAGGGATCTTTTGGAATGAGCCTCCTAATTCATTAGGATGATAGATGCAAAGGGTAGCAAAATATATTGGCCTTGAATTCTGAGGTGGGGGTGTATGCGGAGAGGGGCTGGAAATGGAGATTTGAGTGTCTCCAGCATATAGGGAGAGTCATAGGAGATAATGAGAAGACCCAGGAAGAGCAAGGGAAGATCTCTATGGCATGGTATGAAAGGAAGTGGTACATAGAAGAGGAGAATCTCTAGATAGGTGACCTGAAAGGACCTGAAGAGTGGAGTCCTGGAAACAAAGGCAGAAGTTTCAAGGAGGCAGTTTCAGGGGCCACAGAGAGGAATGGCAGCCATGGCCTGGAAATGTCAGATTTATAGACATTTGCTAGTCCACAAGCATTTACCTTGTTTACTACCAGGAAGAACAAATCTCAGAAGAACAGCAGGAGTGCTGCTTAGAGTGAGAATGGGCAGACTTCATTTCACGTACTTTGGTCATGTTGTCAGAAGGGACTGGTCTCTAGAGAAGGATATCATGCTTGGTAAAGTGGATGGTCAGAGAAAAAGGAGAAGACTCGACAAAATGGATTGACACAGTGGCTACAACGATTGGCTCAAGCATAGCAAAGATTGTGAGGATGGCGCAGGACCAGGCAGTGTTTCTTTCTGTTGTTCAGAAGGTTGCTGTGAGTTGGAGGGAGCTATGGTGGTGTAGTGCCTAAGGCATTTGACTGCTAACCAGAAGGCTGGTGGTTCAAACCCACCAGCCACTCCTCGAAAGGAACATTGGGCAATCTACTTCCATAATGATACTGCCTTGGAAACCCAAGGAAGGGTCACTATGAGTCAGATCCGACTTGACGGCAATGGGTTTTTATGAGTTGCAGCTGATTCAGCAGCACCTAATAACAACAACTAGTAGGAGGTTGGTAGTAGCAGGGTCCAGGTAAGGGGGAAACCAGGCTGCATAGGTGTGGACATAGGTAGGGGCTACCCAGTTGCTGGAGTAGGGGTTGGGAATGGGGATAGACTGAGAATTCCAGAAAGAAATTGAAGATAAGGAGGGAGAGGGGAAAACAGGGCTGTATCTCTGTTTGAGAGGGAGAGCTATTTATTTATTTATTTGTGTGTCTGTTTGTTTAGTTATTTAGTTAGTAATTAACACTTTCTTTTTTCTGTTTATTTTAGAAGATGGTTTATTATTTGGCTAAAAGGTAGCTTGCAGAAATAGCTTCAATTCCATGTTCAAAAGTTGTCTTAGAGTGAGTCTTTGGCGTTCTTCTGGTCTTTATTGATCCAGTAGATCTGGACTTTTTTAGGAATTTGAATTGAATTTTGGTCATACTTTTCTTCCATTCTGCATGGGACCTTCTATTGTGTCCCTGGTCAGAATGGTGGGTGTGGTAGACAGGCACCATCTAGTTGTTCTGGTCTAAGGAGGAGCTCTGGTAGCTTAGTGCCTAAGGCACTTGACTGCTAACCAGAAGGCTGGGGTTCAAACCCACCAGCCACTCCTCAGAAGGAAGGTTGGGCAATCTACTTCCATAGTGATACTGCCTCGGAATCCTCAAGGAGGGGTCACTATGAGTCAGGGCTGACTCGATGGCACATAACAACAACAGAGGTTAGAAGAGGCTGTGGTTTGTGTGGGCTCTGGTAGCATAGTGCCTAAGGAACTTGACTGCTAACCAGAAGGCTGGCGGTTCAAACCCACCAGCCACTCCTCGGAAGGAAGATGGGGCAATCTACTTCCCATAGTGATAGTGCCTTGGAAAACCAAGGAGGGGTCGCTATGAGTCGGTCCAACTCAATGGCACATAACAACAATCCAACATTAGTCCCATGGAGACAACTATTTTTTAACTGTTAGGATCCCAAGAGACAGGCTCCCCTTTCTTCTAGCGTGGATCTGTAGACTGGGCTGGAACTTGGACAGCTTCATCAGCCTTGGCCTGGAACACAGTGCTATCATGGAGCTGGTTGCTGGGGTCTCAGGGCAAAGCCCATTTGCAGCGCTGTAGCCAGTTGGCTTTTGTTTTCCCACGTCCAGCTTCCTGTGGCCACAGAGTAACTTTGTCTCCTTGAAAATTTTGCTATACTGAGACAACTTTCTTCTCTTCCTCTGAACACATATGTGCCATTAAGAGAGATAATTGAATCATGAGGAAGCCTTGGCTACATTCTGTACTTTGTTTTTGTATTAAGTTTAAGGAAGCAAGTTTCTGAGAAAGCAAAAATCAATAAGGAAAATGCAAAAGAACAATAAACCCTGTACTCAAAAGGTAAGGAATGTAGTACAGGCTCAGCATCTGCTGTATTTATGTGAAGTTTAGAGTCTTTCAGAGCGAGGCTCTTGGCAGTGAGAAGGAATTAGCAATCAACTACACATTACAGAATAATTGAATTTGACTGAGTAAACCTTGAAAAAAGAAGAACAGTGATGTTTATTGGATAGAGTTGTGAGAATTGTACTTAGTCCAAAAGGTATTTTGGTTATTTTATTCAGCAAAGGCAAATTTATAGGATGCCCAGTTAAATTTTAATTTCCATTCAACAAATAATTTTTAGTATAAGTATGTCCCCTGCAATATTTCAGACATACTTAAAATAAAAACTTATTCATTGTTTTTGTGAAAAGCAAATAAATGTTCCTGAGTGTCATACACATATTTGATCTGCCAACCCAAATTTAGAGCAGACTATTAATGGATCTAGGAGCTCTGGTAGCATAGTGCCCAAGGCATTTGACTGCTAACCAGGAGGCTGGCAGTTCAAACCCACCAGCCACTCCTCGGAAGGAAGGTTGGGCAATCTACTTCCATAGTGATACTGCCTCAGAAACCCAAGGAGGGGTCGCTATGAGTCGGGCCTGGATTCTCGGTGGTTTCGCAAGTATATAATGATGTAGTCATTCTCCACTTTGTAATCTGATGTGATCATCCTCCATTTTTGCATAATGCCTATTTTCACCTAAGGACATGGTTTTTGTGATCTAATTATGTAAGTATAACCTGACTATGTAACTATGTAAGTGAGGGGCAGGTGTATCTATATTTGACCAATCATTCTGTATTGCATAGAACTCCTTGAGGACATTCTTCAAACCAGAAGTGATGTGTTTCTTTTCTTAGTCACTGGCACCTAACACATAGAAGATATTTCTGGAGGAAATGGAAGAGAGGGAATTTCAGATGCCACAGAAAGGGTGGTAACAGGCACAGTCCAAGGGTGTCCCAATAGAGGGAATTTAGTACTGGGAACTAAATACAAAGGTGATAGAGACAGGAAAAGCTAAATAGGGACAAGGGAGGAAACTTGGGAGATTAACAACAGTAGGAAGTCACCACTTTTCAGAGCTGCAGGGTTTGAGGGAGGAGGGATGTCACTAGAGCCCAGGGACTGAGCCTGCCTGGTGGTACTAGACCTCTGGGACCTCAGAAGGAGAGAGGCTGTGGGGCAAGAGCTGGAATCCCAGGGAGAGTGAGGAACACTTTGGCTTTTCCCTTTTGTCCTACCTTTTCCCACATGTTATCTCACATGGACCAAAATTAGTTAGAAACCACTTGACAAGGGAGCCTGGGACTGCAGTCATCAACCTCCTGTGATAGAGTGTGCAGCAGGGGAAGGGTGGGCTATGAATCTGAGACCAAAAAGGTAAGTGGCAGGCATTGAATTTCAGTCAACTAAATTACTGAAAATTTTCTACCTGGTTTTCATCTAGAAAGCAATTCTACACTGGTTTGCCACATAGGTATTTTTTGAATGAATGAAAGAGTGGATGAAATGAGTCAGTGAATACACATATACGTGAATATAGTATGAAGAAAATCGTTGGTCATGTATAACATGTTTCTACCATCCTTATGGTGAGGCATTGGTGGTTCAGTGGCAGCATTCTCACTTTCCATGTGGGAGACCCAGGTTCAGTTCCTAGTCAGTGCACTACATGTGCAGCCACTGCCCATCTGCCAGTGGAGGCCTGTGTGTTGCCATGATGCTGAATGGGTTTTAGCAGAGCTTCTAGACTGAGGTAGACTAGGAAGAAAGGCATGGCGATCTACTGAAAATCTGCCAGTGAAAACCCCATCATAGGAGCTAACACCACCACCAAGAACTCTGATGGTGCACTGGTTAAGGCATTTGACTGCTAACCAAAACATGGGAGTTCAAGTCCAGAAAGATCAGACAGTCTGCTTCTGTAAAGATTTGCAGCCTTGGAAACTATCTGGCAGTTCTACTCTGTCCGATAGGGTTACTGTGAATTGGAATCAACTCGATTGCAGTGGGTTTACAGTGTGCCAAGTTCTATTCTAAGGTTAGAGTATAGTGGTATTCAGGTCAAGACCCTTACCCTATTAGGAGCTTAATTCTGGTCAAAGAGAACAAAACCAGGTAGACAGGTATGAGTACATCATAATTTCAGGAGGTGGGCTTTGTAGGCTTCAGTTGGGTTCTTGTTGTTATAATAACAATAGCAACCACAGCTGCTGTTATTATTAATAATAGATATGCTAAAAGTAAATGATACCAAGAGAGAGATTAAAGAAGAGTTTAGAATTAAGATTAATTTTAAAAGAACATAGTAAGTAGTACATGGTCATTGAAGAAAAAAATGTAAATTTCACATAAGCAAAAAGAGCCAAAAATATTTTATAGTCCTATCACTGTTTCTAAACAGTGGTTTATAACCCATGTTTAACATTTTTTGTATGTGGTCTTCTAGACTTTTTCTAAAGGATATATAAAATTTTTTCAGAATATAAATTTATATTATACATAGTTTTAAAATCTGTTTTTACTTTACAGTTTATTATAAACTTATCTTTAGGTTCATGCACATGTTTGCAGCATGATGTTTAGTGGCTGCATAGCATTACTCGCTGGGCATGTAGTATAAGTTACTCAGTCAGCTTCCTGTTGGATCATTCCCATCTTTTTGTGTACATAATAGTTGTAAATAACACTGATGGACATCTTAGAGACTAAATCTTTGTGCACTTAAGTATATAATGTTGTTGTTGTTGTGTGCCGTCAAGTAGGCCCCGACTCATAGTGACCCCTCCTTGGGTTTCCGAGGCAGTATCACTACGGAAGTAGGATTGCCCAACCTTCCTTCCGAGGAGTGGCTGGTGGGTTTGACCGCCAGCTGTCTGGTTAGCAGGCAAGTGTCTTAGCCACTATGCTACCAGAGCTCCCAATATAATAATACTTCATTATTCCCCTAATATAAGTGTCTAAAAGCATAATTGGTCAGAGGGTATGTTCTGGTTACCTAGTGCCACTCTGACAAAAATATACCACAAATGGGATGGCCTTAACAAACACGATGGCCTTAACAAACAGGAGTTTATTCTCTTACAGTTTTGAGGCTTTAAGTCCAAGTTCAAAGTGCCAGGCTCTAGGGGCTGGGTGAAAGCCCCTCAACCTTGGGGTCCAGCTCTGCCTCCTGCTCCTGGCCCATGGGAGCTAGAGGCATTTCTTCACTCAGACGACTGCTGGCTGCTAAGGCTGAGAAGCCCAAGGTTGACAAAGAAAATGGCACAGTCCCGATGTTACCAAACCACATGGCAGGCCAGTAACTCAAGTCCACTGTAAATTCCAAGGTCAGCAGGCTGCTGAACAATGACACGGCTACATGCAGGGTCCAAGCATGCCACAAGCTAGCAACCACTCCCAAGGCTTTTCCTTATATACAGGAAACAGGCCACATCCCAAAGGCAGCTACTCAGCTGCTTGTGGTAGATCCTACCATGGAGGTGATTGTCAGTCTCATCATGGGGAATAACTACGACCAGCTGCCCAGCCACTCAACCAGGCCCAGCCAAGTCGACACACAAACATAACTACCACAGGGTATAAACATTTTCATTTAGTTTCATCAGCAAATGCTTGTTGAGCCTTTTCTAAAATGCAAAGCAGTTTGGGTTACTGTTTATCATGTTACCAGAGCTCTCTGTTATCAAATAGACTTCTAGAAATATGCATCAATATATATGCCCACCAATAGTGTTAGCAAGGGAGCTCTGGTACCATAGTGCCTAAGGCACTTGACTGCTAACCAGAAGGCTGGTGGTTCAAACCCACCAGCCACTCCTCAGAAGGAAGGTTGGGCAATCCACTTCCATAGTGATGCCACTTCGGAAACCCAAGGAAGGGTCGCTGTGAGTCAGGTCCGACTCAACGGCACATAACAACAACAGTGTTAGCATGGATTGATAAAGGACCCAATAGCATAGATTTGCTTGGATTTTTGTTGATTTTTTTTTTTATTTTTCAGGGCTTCTAACTAGTTTATTCTGGTTTGACAGCCTGCTGGTTTTCACCCCAGATATGCTGAATCAGAATCTACATTTTAACAAGAGAATGAACTGGTTCAAAGCCCTGTTTTAACTTTCTTTAGCAATCTCTGGAAGCCCAGGACTTAGCTGGGCCATACATCAGTGTTAGAAATTGGCAGGTTAGTGAGGGGGTATGGAATTCTCTGTAATAGCATGAATATTACTGAAATATCATTTGGAAAGAAAGGCAGGCGAATCCAGAAAATGAGTGATGACCTGGGAAAATAGGGAGAGAGAGAAAGTGTCAGAGGGTTGAAATTACTGTCTTCGAAAAAACCAATTGTTTATTCTTCTATTTTGAATTATTTCTGACATTTTATCCTAGAAAACTGTTCTAGCAACCGTGTTGGAAGCCACAATGCTGGGAATTCTATGGTGCAAACTACAGGTGGTACATCTGTGTCAGTACAGGAAGTGGCTCCCTGTGCCAGGGAGCTCCCTCGCAGCCACAGCCCCGGCCACTCATCCAACTCAGCGCAATCTTCCAGAACAGTGGTGCCACAGAAGTGCTTTTTACAGATTTCAGGGATGACCTGTGCATCCTGTGTATCTAACATAGAGAGGAATCTGCAGAAAGAAGCTGGTGAGAGATCTTAATCCATGTTGACTTGGGAATGCTGTTGTAGATGGTTATACACTGACATCTGTGGAGCAGGGCATCTTTGTTTTCCCTTCAGAATCTCCAGTGACTGTGTTCATCAGTAACCAAGATAATCTGAAAGGAAGTTCATTTCAGGATAGTATAGATGCCTATCTAATGCTCTTGGGCAAATGGCATTCATTCTAAAAGGTATTTAATTTGTTTGAGAAAAATATCTCTGTGTAAGTTAGCCATGGAAAACCCAGTTTAAAGGTTGTGGACCATCCATCCCATGGGTAGACTCCTCTAGTATTTATTCAGTTTTTCCCCTTCCAATTCTTTCAACCCCTTACTATGATGTATAAATAGCCTGCAGTTTGTGGAAGGATTTCCGTTTCAAATATTCTGTCCTGTTGTCCCCGTAACCTATCAAATGTTGCAGAAACACCAGAGGTTCTTTTTCCTTTAAACCACATTTCTGATACTATCTCTTAAACCTGAAAATGCGACAAAAATCCTGTCCCAATATTTCGTTTGAAAAATATCCTTGATGTAACAACAGTTGATAGATGCAGGTGATTCTTATGCCAGCTAAACTTTGAGAAGCACATTGAAATAGCCTGAGGAGCTTTAAAAATATTGATGCCTGTCTGATGTAATTGGTCTGGGTTAAGAACCAGGCATCATGATTATCAGAAACTCCCTCAGGTGATCCACATGTGCAGCCAAGTTTGAGAACCGCTATTATAGAGGCTTCCAGTAGAGGTCCTCTTCTTTGTTAAATTATGTTAAGCACGTCATCTCAGAGACTTTGCCTAGAGTGTGATAGCTGTGACCTGATGGTTTCAGGTGTTCTGTCGGTGCTGGTTGCATTGATGGCTGGAAAGGCAGAGGTCAAGTATGATCCAGAAATCATCCAGCCACTTGAAATAGCTCAGCTCATCGAGAACTTGGGCTTTGAGGCAGCAGTAATGGAAGACTACACAGGCCCAGAGGGCAACATTGAGCTGATCGTAAGTAGCTGGTTGGGTTAGAGAGCTTGAGGGCTTTTGGGTTAGAGTAGAGGGCTGGTAGCTTCTGACAATTTGCAGTTGAATTTCTGGTGACCGCCTTGGTTGTGATCAGTAAATTTTTACCATCTTAAATATACGGGGTCACTATGAGTCGTGTCTGACTCAATGGCACATAACAACAACAAATATACCTTATTTAGTATTGGTGGGTTTTGTTTTGTTTTCCTTTGACACCAACACCAGTGGCCTATTTGTTTTGTGAAGGGAGGTCAGTTTTGTCCAAAATCGTAGCACTGTATGTTGCTGAGTACGTTGAGGGCAATTTGGTGGGTCTGAGGGCTACTAGACAAAGAAAAATTAAAAACAGTGGGCTGTCATGAGGTTGGTGATTTAGGGAAGATTGAGTATGGCAGTCCATAAAACCTAAAGGAAACTAGAATGCATGAAAGTATCTTGAGACTAGGAGAGGAGAGTTGGCATGGTACTTGGTGCCATTAAAAAATGAGGGATTGTTGGTAATTTGAGGGTGCTTAGGAGGTAATTGGTGACCAAAGTGTCCTAACACAATCTGAGGCTAATGCTGAAAGTGGTTCTCTTCCCAGTGTGTTTAGAGGGGAAGAGGAGGTATTGTTTCCTTTTTACCTGCTGTTACTCATGTCACAAATAATTGAGAACAACAGGCATTTCTAATACTTAGAGTATGCTATGTCTGCAAGCACTTTGGTATGAAGTTCTTTTTGTGTCAACAAAAGCAGGCTTAGAAGAAGCCCATGAGGAATTTGAGTAATGCTGTTCTACCAAGTCAAAAGATCTTTTAATTGCTTGATGTGTTTGGTCTCTGCCATTAGTGGTAAGTAAATGTTTGAAGAAAAAGTATTGAAGACGTGAGTTGCACATTGAGCTTGTGGCAAATAGTGTTTTTGTAGAGCAAACTCTTTGCTTTCATGGCTGCCTATGTGTTAGGAGCAAAGTGTAATACTCACTGGGTCACAATTCAGAGAAGCCCTGTGATAGAGGCAGGTCCCTGCTGTAGGCCCCCAGGTGTACGCATGTATACCTTTCTGCTCAGGTTGCTTGTGGAAAAATTTTAATTGAGAATATTATTGAGAAAGGTTAAAAAAATTTTTTTTAAAAAAAGAACACTTTTACTACAACATATTTTTTAACGAAACAGTATCAATAGTCATTTCATCATCACATATTCATAGACATTTTAGGTAGATGTCTGTATTTCATTAGTATTCTAGGAGATGCTGGCCACTGATACACAGAAGAGTGCATTGCCTGATTTGCAAAGTATATTACAGTAATGGCAGGTCACATGTCATACTTCTATTTTGTCTTGTCAGGACACACAGCATGGTATGGCATAAGCAGAGTAAACCATCTGTGTACAATGGACTTGAATTCACTGCATACACTAGCTGTAAGGGACTTTCTTCACCTTGCTGATCCTGTTCCTCTGCATGGACTTGGCAGCCAGTCTGGGCTCCTGCTCCAGCTTTACCATTCACTGGCTGTTGTGACTTTGGGCAAGTTGCTAAGCCTCTCAGCACCCCAGCTTCCAAGACCTATGTCATGGAGTTATTGTGAGCATGAAGGTGCATAGGACAGTGCCTGGCACATTGTAAATGCTCATAAATGGTTCTTATTATTACTGTTATTGTTATAAAAATAAAAAAAGAGCTTAAGAGCACCAATGAAATATTTGTAGACTTTGTACAATTCTATCTGCACAGCCACCTGGCAGCACGTAAGCTCCTCATATTTTCCTTGGGTTCTACGCCAAAGTCAATGTGTTGTGATTATAGATGCGCTTCTCTCTCCTTCCTCCCTAATTCCAGATGGGACTCTCATCTCTTTTGGTCTTTGAATCTGGCATTACTGATGTGAATGTCAAAGTGTAGTTCCAATCAGCATTCCAGACCTCATCCTTGGAGTGGCTTCCTATGGAGTGTCTGAGTTAGCACACATTTTTTTTAGCTGGGTATGCAAGAGACTTCATGCTGTGGACTCAACCAACTTTGCAAACTTCCCTCTTCTTCCTCTCTTACGCATATTTTATGCCCTGCCGAGCTGGCTTTTGATGGCTGCCTGGACACCTTTGCTGTCCTGCCTTTTGCTTTTTCCCAAGCTTCTCTATGCAGAACCTCACATACTCTTACCTTCACATGTCAATATCCTGTCCGACTTTGATACCAACTCAAATTCATCTCTTGCATTCATTTCCTAAATCCTTCCTTCCTGTTGATAATAAAGAATCGACATTATCGCCCTGGTGCCTCTAGAGCACTGAAGTAGAGAGCGTGTCAGTAGTAGCTCCCAGTCAGATGCCAGTGACACTCAGGATATGCAGAGCAGTATAGTAGTTCTATGGGCTTTGCAGAGGGCCACAGCCTTACCCTTGGCAGCAGAGAATGTATGTGCATTCTTATCCCGACACTACTGGTACAATATCTGAGACAACAGGGTAGAAGTGGCTTAGGGAAGCCCATGGTTATTAGAGCCAGAAGTCAAGCCTTAGTCTGTTGCCATCTGTTCAGTGATGAACTCTGTCTCCTGTGCTTAGGGGGGAAGAAGGTCTGCTTGTGTCTCTGAAGCCCCCAGGGATGTTAGGGGTAAAAATCTTGCACATGGAGTTTGGAGGTTAGAGTCTTGGAAGTGTGCTGTGGAGGAAGAAACTCTTGTGGCTGCTTTTCACCAGAACTCCCTGATGTGCCTTTGTTCGGCCCCTGTCGAGGCTCTGTCGGTGGGATTTTTGTCATCTTGTGTTGCAGATTAGAGGGATGACCTGCGCTTCCTGTGTTCACAACATAGAGTCCAAGCTCATGAGGACAAATGGCATCACCTATGCTTCAGTGGCCCTTGCCACTAGCAAAGCCCATGTTAAGTTTGATCCTGAAGTTATTGGTCCACGGGATATTATAAAAATTATTGAGGTAAGTTGTTTATTTAAAAATTATGCTGACTGTTTTTAAACACATAATATAACCATTGTAGAAAAATGAGAACATACAGATAAGCAGAAAGCACAGAATGAAAATCACCTAAATTTCTCCAGCTTTTCCCATCAAATAAGGTCAATCATTTTAAAATAGTCTTGCAAAGGTAAGTGGATGTCATCATCTGAGGAAAAAAATGGATGAAAAAAGATGGGAGAAAATTATTATAATTTTGATTTCAGCTATTCTCTAGGAAGCATCAGTATAGCCAAGATACCTGGCACATTGGATTATATTGCTCCAGTTATAGTTTTTAAGTATGAGCTATATCTCAAAGAGCTGCTCATTTGGGAATAATTGTGCCGCATTTTGCTGCTATGCAGATTGCCTTATAATAGGGTAATTTGTAATTTCTGCTTTGGAAAATCCACTATAATAGTTTCCACACACTCCTACCTCCTACTTTCTCCCTCAGTTTGCCAACACACATACTATTTCCTTAAGGTTTATGTTATACTGGACCATGAGAGAATGATCATTGGTGGTAATCTGAGTGGCCTATTAAAAAATGAGCCAAGACTCAACAAGATTAACTTGTAACAATAAGTAAAAGATAAATTAAGTTTAGGGGGAACTACTACTTCAATTGCTTGTGAAATGAAGCATATTTGTAGCAGGGTTAATGTTGTCCTTCATTTTCTCTTCATTGTCGGTGTATTTTGTTTTCTTAAAAAGATACTGTCTGTTGTATGGCCTAGTAGAGCTTTTGGGAATGTAAATATGATACTGATGGTGGTGATGATATAATGCCTCACACTTGGAGGCAGGCAACACAGCTACTTTATCAAACAAAGACAGAACCACAGAAAGGTTAAGTGATTTTGCTCACAGCTGGTACACAGCTAACTGGGCCGAACTAAGGCTCAAACCCAGCTGTTAAAATTCCAAATTCAATAGCCTTTCTTTCCACCACAAATCTTAAAGGATAGCAGTGATGTGGCAGAAATGAGGCACAGAAGTCAGACTGATGCAGGAAACAGTAGGGAGAGTTCCAGGTCATAGCTTTGACTTTGAACACACTTCAGGTGCCCTTCTTTATTATAATACTCTTGCACACTTCCACCCAGTCCCTGAGCTTGGTACAGCATCAAGCTCTTGGTCCTTACTCTAGGGATATTGCCTCCATTTTTATTATCTCTGGGACATCTTTTCCTAAAACAATTAGGCTGGTATTGGTTGTGAAAGGATTTGTCTTTAGGTAGCCTTAGATGCCTTTCTCCTACCATAACCTTTTATTTCTGTTTCAGAGCCAAATAGCAAAGTTCTGGGGTTCATCCCTATATTGTCCTGATGGACAGGACAGTTCCTGGCATCCTCTTCTGTTGTGTATTCATAAAGTATGCCAGAGACTTAGTGGTCAGGTCAAAGATGGGAGGGAGGATGGAGGAGTGAGGTGTAATAAATGCTTGAGTTAATCCCTGAAAAAGACACAAGATTGGGTGTAGTCGGGCCACAGTGTGAGCCATGGCCTCCAGATATTAAAGGAGTCAAGTTCTACTCTAGTGGGAAGAGCACATTCTGTGAGTCTGGAGACCTGACTGCTGGATCTAGCTCTTCTGATGACGCTGTGACTTTGTGCAAGTTATTTAACCTCTGTGACCATCAGTTTGCTCATGTGTAGGATAAAAGTACTCATACTATTTGATATTTGGGATTCCCCAACTCAAAAATTCTGAGTTTATAACTTCACATTGACCTGCTTTGGGGCCTGGTAAATTATCCTAGAACCTGCTGCCTTTGCAAACAGGGGAACAGGAGTGGCCATCTGGAGCCATATCTCTAGATGTGATACAGCTATAACCATAGAAGCATGCTGAACCTCTTGAACAGGATGTAAGGTGATTTTGGTGAAGAAGTCTTAAAAGAGGCACAGCCAGTACTGTCTTCTGAGGCAATTTGGGATTAATTTTCTAATTTCAAAGAATGTATCATGATGTTGATAAAATATTTTCTTCTAATGCATGTTTTAACCAAGTACCTTCCTCCTTGCTCCCTACCCCTTTCTTTTTAATAACAAGGAAATTGGCTTTCATGCTTCTTTGGCCCAGAGAGACCCCAACGCTCATCACTTGGACCACAAGCTGGAAATAAAGCAGTAGGTAGAACAGAAAGTATAACTGAAGTCCTTGGCTAAGTACTTTCTTCTCTGTGGGCCTGACTCTATGGCCTATTCTGCACAAATGCCTTCCTGCTCACCTGTGTCCCTACTGTTCCTGTCTTCCCATGAATTCTTCCACATAGATTGTTTTTACCCTCGTAATACCTTTTAGAGTAGAGCCATCCAGTAGACTTCATGTAGTGATGGAAATGCTCTGTATCTGTGCTGTCTAATATGATAGCCACTAGCCACATGTGACTACTGAGTGTCTGAAATATGGCTAATGTGACTGAGAAGTTCAATTTTTAATTTAATTTTAATAACCACATGTGGCAGATGGCCAGTGAATTGGATAGTACTTACATTGGGAGTGAGGGAATGTCGATTTTTTTTAAAGATTTTTTTAAAGATTTACAATATTTTAAGACTTTATTTAAATAGATTCTGGACTAGGATTACAGGCATCATGGCCATGTGGGAAGACAATGGCCTGGAAAGCAGGAGACCTGGGTTCATTCATTGTTTTGTTTGTTCACTTATTATTCAATAAACATTGAGGCCTAAGTGTGTAGGATATTGTGCTGGTGCTGGGGATGATAGAATGTCATGCTACCTTAAGAGGGGCCCCTAGAGTGGCTTGGAGATCAGTAGGTGAACAATGACAGCAGTGATTCAAGTGGTGGTCAGGGAAACCTCCAAGCAGGAGACACGAGATCTGAGCCTCAAAGGATGAGCAGAAGCTTGCTCAGCTGAGGGAGTAGGGGTGGAAGGGAAGGTCTTTTAGGGGTATGGGGACAGAGAGGGTGTGGGGTTTCAGAGACTCATGTGGTTTGTTCCGATTGGCATGCCCAGAGCAAGGAAGCACTGGCAGGAGAAGGATCTGGAAAGCTGGTGAGGACCTGACTCTCCGGGTGCCTTAGGCGTCAGCTTGAGAAGTATGGGACTTGGTTCATAATGTGCATGTGCCTTAGTCAGAGCAGGTTCTGTCTGGTGACTACAACTGTGTACCTTTCAGTGCATGAGAAGGTGGCTGAGCAGGTCCCCAAGTCTGTGCTGCTTTTTTTTTTTTTTTT